TGTGTGTAAGGGGGGGGGGGTTACTCGTCATGACTTAAGCGGCTAAATTCTGCATCAGTTGTACCTGATATGATGGGATAATTGAGGTGTCCTTCATTCCGGGCCGTATCGTCGTCTGTGAAAGCAGGTAAATGTCTAATTGCACCAAAAGTTGAATAAAATAAACAATAAAATAATCCCCCTAAAAATAAAAAAATTCTTGTTTCGGTTCGCATGAAAAAAGGATGACTCTGAGACTGTTCGCTCTTGAACAAGACACAGAGAGCCCCAACTTGTCCTGAAGTAGGTCTCTGCTCCAATGTCTGTGCACCATTTAAGGTCAAAATTTGTTTGTGTTGATTCTTCTTCGGCCCCATGCTCACATTTGATTGGCTGCGCTGGATCAGACTCTTTGGTAAATAAGCGTGGTGGGAGTGCTATTGGAGCGTTTGCTTGGGTGTGTGATTCACAGCCATCATGATGGGCTTGAAGGCAAAGCACAGGATGCCAATTGTATCTTTGCATTTTGACTTTTTTGTTCTTGTTGCGTGTGTGTCTGCAGCGGTTGCGTGTGGCCGACTCCCCAGCAGGCAGCATGAGCTCCAAAGGCAGTGGCGGCGGCGGCACAGCGTTGAGTCGCCGCAACTACAGACTGGCCTCGGACATGGACAAGCCCAAGTCCACCGGTAACGCTCTCCACCTTCACACCACGTCCTTGTAATTTTGCAAAACAAACCACCAATTTTCACAGATTCCTGTCATCGTTGGTGTGTATGTACTGCTCTTAATGCATCTGTTCAACTATCTTGACTGACAAGTGCAACATAGGAACAAACAACATGGATGGTGCATCTGCAAAGTGTTCACATTGCATTCCTTTTTCCACATCCTGTTCCAAAATGGATGTGATTTCTTCATTTGTTTCTTGTAATACATTTGCAAAATCTTCAATATATTTTTTTCATGTTGCTCTTTGAATTTCAAAGGAGAACTGAAATCCAAACTTTTCTTTGCAATAATACGATGACTAATATTCTTCTTACAGTAGTAGAAGTCTATTCTTCATCATTCATATCTCCGTTTCGTTCATACAGCAAAAAAAAACAAAACAAAACAACCTACACTTTTTTTGACTCTCTTGTCAGGTATCGTCAACGAGAGGCTGCTGAGCGACTATTTGCGTCACATCTTCCCTTCTGCCAATCAGGCCACCGTTCCGCCCTCCCTCAGGTTGTCCACCTGCCCGTTTGTCTGCCTGTTTGTCTGTCTGTCTGTCAGCCTAGTGACTGGGTAGCTTTTTTTTATCTATCTATCTATCTATCTATCTATCTATCTATCTATCTATCTATCTATCTATCTATCTATCTATCTATCTATCTATCTATCTATTTATCTATCTATCAATCATATTTCAACTTGTTTTTAATATTAAGAATGTGACTGATCTATCAGTCATATTTCAACTTGTTTTTAATATTAAGAATGTGACTGTCCTGGCAACAGTACACCTTTTTTCTGGAAGTCGGGGTTAGCTTCTGCTTGAGCTTTTTTCCAGCTTTTTAATGAGGCAGGGGGATACTGGAGTGGAATACGCTCAGCTGCTGCGCTTTGTGTTACAGGCACTTCTATTCATAGACACACACACACACACACACACACACACACACACACACACACACACACACACACACACGCACACACACACACACAC